TCCAGCCAAAAAAAAATGCCTTTGGAATTAAATGAAGTTGGAATGGAATTAAAAATCATATTTACGGATCTTAAATGGTGTTTAAATCACCAAAACATGTTTATTCCAAATCTGTGACACTCCAACCTGGTCGTCCCCTTGTAAGTAAAATGGTTTACCATGAATGGAATAATTTTTCTTAGAATGTTAAACGACAATCAAAAACCGACTGCTGTTATTACAGAAATTTTTGATCATTATTAATCGAAATGAAATTGGCGGACCGACGACGGTGTCGTATTTACTGATGATGCCATCCTTTGACCAGAATTATTCTTGGAAAGAACGCAGAGGATTTAAGAATCTCTAACTCAATGTTTCTGAATCATTTAAATCATTTTTCTTAGAATGTTTGATGATAATCCGAAGCCGTCGGCTCTTACTACAGAAATTTTTGATCATTATTAATCAAAATTAAATTCGTGGACCGACGACGGTATCGTATTGATGATTTCATCGTTTGACCAGAATTATTCTTGGAAAGAACGCAGAAGGACAACGTTCGAAATATTCGTTGTTCGGAGCCGGTTTGCAATCCTCGTGGAAGTGCCTGACCGTGGCCCCGCAACGGATTAGGTCGCGTCTGAGTCGTTGGAGACCGGAGCCGATGGATGCTGCGTGATTCATCCGTCCTCTCGGTCTTCCCGGTGAAACCATTCTGGGTTTGGCTCCGTTTAACGCATTCCCACTCACTTTCTTCCCTTCCAATGATGACTCCATGAAGTCATACTATTTTCTTTTGTTCATACAGTGATCATCATGATTTTCTACTCTTGACGTAGCGTGCCGTTTGAAACCGATGATTTGCTTTAACTTTATATAGTTATATCCACGCTCGAATTGAAACTGGAAGCATCTAAAAGGAAATAAGAAAACTTAAACATCACGATAAATAGGTACAAAAATTACAGAAAATATAAAAAGAAAAATTTACAGACTTAGCATGCCACAGTTTAAAAAAATCACTTATTCAAATTAAACATTGTTAAATTATTCGATAAGAAAATGCATCAATAAAACCAGAGTGGTTTCTACTATTAGAACCAATAATATATACAAAGAGGTGAAACGAAATACTACAAAAATTCCAAATAGAACAAGGTTTTTTCTATACCGCTATGCTTAATAAAAAAAAATGAATACATACTTCAACTAAACATCTCTGAATTTCAAAATGTACCAAACCATTAAACAAACCAGCTGAATTTTTTAAAATGCTATTAGTTGTTGCAATTCAAAATTTAAATGAGCATGTACGCAAGGCGCAAGGATCACCGAAGTTAGTCCAATAGCGTCACTTCAGGTCCCACGCATGCAGTTTTTAAACCTAGGCACATTCTCACTCATTCTTGAATACATTCTTTTCTAATTCATTCATGAATGGTGCGGGGTACTCGATATTACTATACCTTTAAACATACTATATAACCAATTGCTAGTCGATGGAGTATTTAATAGGCCTGATTCGTACCTCTCACTACATTCACGCTAATAAATAAATTCAAACTCAATATGCAAAACGAGCTATCCGGAAATACTATTTGTATGCTATGGCCCGCGCTTGGGGTGACTCGAGACAATAGTAGCCCTGTGTCCTATGATTTCAACGACTCCACTGTCAGGTTCTCATTCCTTCTCGTCGAGCTCTTGTAAGAGAGATACTCTGACCTTGACTGTCTCGGCAAAATGGTGATTGTTGTCTGGGTCCTCGGACACATATAACTAGACAGTAAGGAAAAGGTGGGACGTTCAGAAACTTGATTAAAAACACAATTAAAAGTAAATGAGTGTCGGTGGGCTGGATCGTTTGAACTGTCACGTATCGAGAGCTCGGTTAAGGATGAGCTAAGAAGAAGAAAAGGAATGATACTCATACTAAGAATAGGCCATGCGAGGTTGATACACAAACACTTACTTTTGAGCTAAAGCCCGTGTGTGTTGCACATAATTAAAGTCATTCCATGGCTTCATATGAAGAGGAGGAATGCCACCCGTTATCATTATTGTACCTGAGCATTTGAGTCCATGGGTTCGATTTTTAGAGGAAACGGCTGCTTTAGTGTACATAGTACTTTATAGATATCTCGTATTTAGATTTAATGTATTTATTAATGAGAATTTCTAATGTGAGAGGGTTGATGGCGGAATATTAAGTACGTCATAGACTAAAAGGTAAAAGAATTCTTGTCGTTCAGAAGCGCTTAAGGTCCAACTTGGTTGTCGCGGTTAAGGGGTCAAAAGACTTCACAATAGATTTTTATAGTATGAAAAATCATAAATCCAAGGTTTCTGCCGGGGTTCGAACCCAGAATTTCTACGATTCTAAACGAGTCTGACCTCCAAACCACTCTACCCACCTTGATCTCCTACCCATAGTATGTGTAAAAGGTGAAAGAAGAATATCGAGTATAGAGAGGGTGAGTCGTTTTGATTTAAAAATTGATCAGCCGGGGGTTGAAATCTCCTAGTTGTTGATAGACCCTGGACCTAATTTCGGCGGCGGGACCTAGTTCTGACCTCGGACCGCCAGAACTGGTTGTGTCTCGTGGCCTGTCGGTAATTTATAGTAAAATACACAAAAGCAGGTATTACCGGCAGGCCATGAAAAGTTGTACGTTCGATTCGGTACACGTGCACACACGTGTGCAGAATTGAGGAAAAAAACGTAACAAGGGACTCAAATACTTGCAGACGAGCTCAAGAACAATGCTCACATTGTGTCCTACTCGCTCTTTATATGCATACAAGGGATGACACCCTTCAGTTAAATGGAGCAGCGCAAAAGTAAGTGTTCGAATCTAGGGAGATGGATGATCTCTTTTCTAGGAATCAGATTCTCCGAAGGCCTCCTATCGACGTGCTTTAGACACTAGCTTCTCTCCTGATCCCGCCGCTGCCATTTCCTTTTGATCATGATTTGATAACAGTTGTATTCAAATTTGTATTACGTCATTATTGGGCGTTATTAGTTTAACATATTTATTCGATTTTTTGATATTATTTAGTTTTGTACATGGTTCAAAAACAAATCTATTAATTTTCTTGTCTAGCTTTTTCTTAGAATCTTGAAGGGCTTTATGGTTGGCTAATAATAAGTTGACTTCTCTTGGTTAATCAGATAGGTCATATCATCGGTTTACCATTCATCGTTTCTAATCTTTCATTTTGTTTACTATTTTTATTTCTTTTTTTATTATTTATTATTTTATTTCCACATCCCTTGAGGTAAAACAGTATTGTCCGGGTGTGTTCTTGGATATAAATCAGGCCTTCGATTGAATATGGGCACTCTGGGCTGCTGTGGAAGCTCAAGAACATCATACCAGCAGTCTATTACCTTATCCTAAAATCATATCTTAACGATCGTTACTTCCATGTATCCCACAGAAATTCATTGTCTCCTATCCATCCTACTCTAGCAGGTGTCCCACAAGGCAGCGTACTCGCTCCTTTCCTTTATACCTCCCACCTACCTACGCAACCTAATACTATCACCGCCATGTTTGCCGATGATACTGCAATCCTTTCTCCTGATCCAGTCACAGCTTCCCGTAATCTCCAAAATCACCTACAGATCCACTGGCTCCGACATCAAATCAAGATCAACGAAACCAAATCAAAAAACATAATACATACCCTAAACAAGAAAACGCTCCCACCAGTATACCTCAACAACGTTCCCATCCCGATTGCGAACCATGTACGATACCTCGGACTCTACCTGACTTGGACAAACGACTGACTTGAAACCCATATACGACTTAAGCGCACAGACTGTAACATACGATTTTTCATGCTTGAACGACAATCGACAGACGATCTCACTAACAAACAACATAAAATTTTACATTGCCCTCCTGGCCTCCATTTGGACATACGGACTTGAACTTGCGGTATTGCTAAGCGTTCCAACCTCAATCGAATCCAGTTCCTTCAATCCAAAATCCTCAGAACAATAGTCAACGCCTCTTTCTATGTATCCATTCACACCATCCATACCGACCTAACTGTCCCTCTTGTTACCGAGCTAGCCCAATCCCGCTACAAAACGTTCCATCCCAAACTACCCCATCATCCGAAACCTTTCGTCAAAACCCTGTCATATAACCACCTCATTACCTAATAATCCCAACAGAAGACTGAAGCATCGGTGTCCCCGCGACACTTGACATCGGTCTCCTAAGACGGAGTCCGTCTCGCCCATCTTATTGATGTACTGATGACTACCATCACTGGCATGGCAGTGATGCCATGCTAATGTTATTGTTGTTTATGTGTAAATATTATATTTTTACTTTACAGTTTTACTTGTTGCGTCGAAGAATACAGTTGTCAAAAAAATAATAAATAAAATCATTTTATTTTCTTCGGGACAAACGTTAAACTGTTCGAACGCGTCCCGCCGCACAAAGTGCTTGTTGACTTTTAAGATGCCATTACCATTGGGGACAAAAATGGAAGACTCTCCCTGTCTTGTGTCTACGCTTTCTCAATCTGTGATGGGAAACTTTGATCTTGACCGACGGCGAAATTCCCCATGTCAGAATTATCTCTCGGCCGTAATCGGCTAACTACTTACGACGAAATTGTTAAATTGGAGGAAAAGGCTGAGTTATTATTATTAAATGGTCAGATTTGGTCTGGGATCTGTGGCGTGACGAAACGTCAGTTTAATTTCAGATCATTTTAATCTGCCAAATTAGGAAGGATAGGCACATATAATTGGTTTATTTATTTTAAGAGAGATCGAGAGTTAGTTGACAGGCTAATGGTCTTATAAGACTTAAACAGGAAGAAATGTGCTGAAGGAAAGAGTCGATGCTCGGCCTAATTGTACGATTGTCAAGTACGAAAAAACGCACAGACTTTGGCCGTGAAAAGTAATACAGGGCTGCTCATTACGTAAGTCCAAAAACAGTCGGCTCGGCGTGGCTGGTGGGAGCAGTGAAAGTAATGCTCCTTCTTCGGGGAGGACCGCTTCAGTCCGGTAGTAATCCTCGCGTGTTCTGCACGGATATGTAGTGCCGACCTTAGTCCACAGACAGTCGAGTGTACCTTGTGTTCCTGTTATTTTGTATATTTTGCAGGCAAGAATGATCGGCTTGTCATTCTTTCTAGTGGGGTAGGTGGAGAATAATTTTTTTTTAATTTTTCAACAGGACCTAACAAAAAAGAAAAAATCAATTCGAAAAATTTGATAATAAAATTTTTTTTTCTTCAACATCAAAATAAACAAACAAAGGCAAGGATGTGAAATGAGTAGGATCAGAAATGATCAAAATGATGAATAATCAAAAACTTATTGCCTACATCGTCAATCAGGGAATTATAATGAACACCACAGTACTATCAAAAAAGTATCCTGATTATCCAATTACATACCTTATTCAAGAAAAACAATGAAATTGAACATGCCACCGCTAAAATAATAACGAATTGAACATCCAAACTTGTCATTCGAAATAATTAAGCAAAATATTGTGCTTTTTATCTAAATTTAAATTTTTCCTTTACTGAATATTTAAATATTTAAAAAAATGTTTGTACAAATAAAATGGTTTATTAGTTCTATCTACCCTACATAAGATTTATAACCAAATTTTCTTACAAAATGTAGCAATACGTTGCAATTTTCAATTTTTTAAGATTTGATTTCTTAATTTGTTGGGAAGATTGTACATTACATATAATTTTTTTTAAATATTTTATCAAATATATGCGGTTGTATTTTTAATTGAACTTTATTATTTTTTGTTTGTAAAAATAAATTGGTTAATTAGTTCATCAAACTACCTCCACAAGTTTTATTGTCAAACTTTCTTATGAAATCTTGCAAAGTGGAAATTTTCAATATTTTTAAATTTGATTTCTTAATTTTTTGGGTAGATTTAACATTTCTTATAATTAAAAAAATTATCAACCTTACGAGGTTGTATTTACAGTTGCATCTATCCATTTTTGTCCAGTTAATAATATTTCATGTCTTTTTCTTTACGTAAGAGAAGAACAGACATTACGAATCGTTAAAAATTTATTTTCTTATTTTTTATATTTACTTTTTTCTTTTCTTTATTGAATTTCATTTACAAACAAAACGACCAAAAATAAAATGATTATTTCATCAAGCTACCATCTATAAGTTTTATATGCAGCTTTCTTACAAAACCCGGCGAAATGAATAATTTTCGATATTTTTAAAATTTGATTTCTTAATATTTTTTTTTTGTTGCAAAGATTGTAAATATCCTATAATATTTTTTTATTTTATTAAATACCCTGATGGACAAATTTAACGCACTACTCAATTTATTTAATATATAATTAAATCCATTATCTTTCTATATTCGTTACAAGTAATTAGGAGCTATCGCAGTCAAAATAAACAGTAAATAATGCTTTCTTTGCTTCTTTTGTTTACTTTTGTTCTGATTAATCCCATTTGCACAAAAAGTAGCGTTATCCCTTATATTCTACTACGGGTATAGATCGCTTTAAGTAATATTTTTTCCTTCGTTTATTTCATTTGATAATCTTCTTTTTCTTAAACCGTTTTCAATGACTTCAATGTCTGGACATAACATTATTAATTATACAGACAGCGCAAAGTCGCCAGGACAAGGTCGAACTAGGAATACAGACCAGAGAGACGATAGATTCATCCGTCAGGGAAACTTCAGCATCAGGGAAATGAGATAAGAAATCTGAGAAAATAATTCCGAAATTTTCGATTTCCACTAGGACTTTAAGAAAAAGGCTCAATGAAAATAACTTCAGGGCCCGGCACCGGCTTAGCTCTTCTTAGCATATCTCAGAAAATGACCAGGCTTCAATTCGCACGGAAATATGTGAATTACATTGGAAGATTGGGGACGAGTTCTCTTTATAGATGAGGTGAGAGTTGGCCTCAAAGATAGGCGTAATTTCATATGGAGACGCTCTGGAGAAAGGTACGCCCATGTGCCTTTTCCATGTATGTATCTACCGTGTATGGTTCCTCAGGTGGCATTCCATGGTGGGTCATTGATGTTCTGGGTGGCATTTCCTTGGATGCCCGATGGATGATGATGGAAGATCTCTAACTTCACAGAGATACTTACAAGACATATTCGAAGAACCTATAATGCTAGTTACTCCCCACATCGGTGAGAGATTCTTGCTGATGCAGCATAATGCCAGGCCCCATAGAGCATGTATTGTGGATGACTACCTGAATTAGGTTGGAAATGAGTGCTTGGTGTGACCAGCACGAAGTCCAGATTTGAACCCAAACGAACACATTTGGTACAAATTCACTAATTTCGTGGTCCGCTTGACCAATTAATATATTACAATTAATTATGGTTTTTAGTTGAGATAAAAATGTCAATGGCACGAGCGGGATTCGAACCCACGATCTTCGGCTAGATACGCCGCTGCTCTACCACTTGAGCTATCGTGACCTCGACCAGCTCGGACACTAACTTCCCATCTCAACCGCGCCTTTTAAATTTTCCCTCCTTTTTGCCATTTTTCAAAAAAATTCAAAAGGTGCGGTTGAGATGGGAAGTTAGTGTCCGAGTGGATCAGCGGCGTATCTAGCCGAAGATCATGGATTCGAATCCCGCTCGTACCATTGACTTTTTTATCTCAACTAAAAACCTTAATTAATTTGGTACAAACTTGAGCGACGAGTACTCGTGAAACCCAGGCTCTAACATCCTAGACGAGTTGGAAACAGTTCTTGATCAATGGAAGAGAATTCGTCAGGATTTTATCAAAAATCTTTTCCAACGAATGCAAAGGTGTTTCCATATTTCCATCAGAAACTCACTTAAACCCAGAAATCGTAGTTCTGGGAGTAAAGGACGAAGGGCCGAAATGATAGGTCCAGAAGTACAAATCTAATAAAAACGTACTTAATTTTCGACCCATAGAACTACAATATTTAATTCATGATACCCAACACTTTCTAACTCATAACTCTTACTTCTATTTGCATATTCGGCTCGCATTAGTTTCACGGCTGGCTCTTTTTGCTTATACTGATTCCAGGACACTTTTGACACGTACAGTAGAATCTCACTTTTTAAAACGCGAGAGATTATTTTACAGGTAAAATATTAAGACTAGGAGGACAATTTCAGGAAAAATACAAAAATAAAGTTATAAAACATTGCTTAAACAATAGGTAATCAATGAGGGCGTAAACATTTAACCATATTTTTATACTATCGTAATTACTTAAAACCTGCGCTTGAGGATGCATGTGAAGAAGACAGTTTGGCCAGAATGCAGAATTATACGGAAATTTTAAATTCATTTTTTTATTAACAAGACCGGTCTTTTTTTTTAATATATATAATCCACGTGGATAACTGTTACGTAGAGAACCATCCAACCAAGGTAGTCCAGATATCGAAACGTGTTTGGTTTTTTATTTGACGCCAGTCCTGATATGCAGTAAAAGTATTTTAAACAAAACGATAATGCAATAAAATATTTTATTCAAGTTTTAAAAAGTATACCGTAATAAAAATTGTTGGTTTTCATAATGATCAGACGCTACAATTAATAAGGTCAGACTTTTTCAAAAATACACTGAAACATTAAACAAACAAATCTGTGGAATTTTATAACAACGTTAAAGTTTTTAGTCGTCCAAAAGTTTATTTCAACAGAAAATTATTTTGGTTGTTCCAAAATTTTACCCTAAAAATTTATGTGCTTACAAGTAAATAAATAAAGACAACAGAAATATTTATTGTATGACCTTAATTTTTAATTTCTTTGGCTTTTTATTATAAACGATTTCTTTTTAACTTGTTCAGCAGAAAGCCAATAAAAGGTCCAGTAAATAAATGTTTAGAGTTACGATAAAACCATACAGTTTTTATTATATTTTTGGAAAAGTTTACTGTAATTATTATTTATAATCAGGGAAGCCTTTTTGGTTGCTTAATTGTGGAATTTTGTTATCGAAAGAAACGAACAAATATTTAAAAAAATAGTTTCAACAAATTTGTTGAAAAAGTACCTATAATTAAATATTATTGATTTCTTTGAGCCTGATGATGTGAACTTAAAAATTGATACTTGGTTCAATTTTTGTAAGGGACAAAAAGTATCTCGATATAATTTATATCTGCCATCATTATTTTAATTTTATATTAAAAATTGTGGATTAAGGCCGGTTTGAAAGAAGTGAAACCCTTCAGTTCCTTCGTCAAGCTGTCGAGGAATATACTTCATCAGCACTTTGAAAGTATTATTAATAATGTACAAGGTTAATAAATTTGAACATCGATTTAAACATTTATAGACATGACATTTATGTTATTAAACTACCTATTGCATTATCTGACTAATAATGATAATTTTTTTGTTTTGTAAGTGGATGTAGATCATATATGTTAACTTCGTGAATTATTAATAATAGACTTTAAGCACGAAGTCAATGTAGTACTCAAAATTTTGCCGAATCAACTGAGTATTATGTTTTCTTTCAAATTGGCCTAATCCCTATTTTTAATATGAAATAGAGCAAATGTTATTTTGTGGTAATTTTGAAAAGTGTACTATAATTATATATTTTAATTAATTAAGGTTTTTAGTTGAGATAAAAAAGTCAGTGTCACGGGCGGGATTCGAACCCACGCCCTTCGGATAGATACGCCGCTGCTCTACCACTTGAGCTATCGTGACTTCAATCCACTCGGACACTAACTTCCCATCTCAACCCCACCTTTTGAATTTTCCCTTCTTTTTGCCATTTTTCAAATATCGTGTAATCTATTTGATTCTCGGCGACAAATGAAATGGCCACGGAGAGCTTTAGTGAAGATATACTTCATTTAACTTTTTAAAATCTCTAGTTTTCGTGGTCCGCTTGACCAATTAATATTTTTCAATTAATTAAGGTTTTTAGTTGAGATAAAAAGTCAGTGTCACGAGCGGGATTCGAAAATCGATTGAAAAATGGCAAAAAGGAGGGAAAATTCAAAAGGTGAGGTTGAGATAGGATGTTAGTGTCCGAGTGGATCGAAGTCACGATCACGTCTAAGAGTGAGCCTTGGAGCACTCCGGTCAACACCAATCGACATTCTTCTAGCCGAGACAAACGAACCCCTGATTGAGTGCAGAAGA